AGTCATCACGCACTGATATCTGAGAGGGTCTGTTACTGCTAATGTATTAGTGGGTTCCCGGTATTGGAGATGGATTCTGACCATTGCTGCTGTTTCTCTTGTTATTTTGACGCTAACAATGGTGCTCGCTCTGCTTGTTTCAGCCTGCCATCCTCTGTCTGAGCTTTAGTGTTTCTAAATTATTCATAGTGCTGCTCGCCGTCATTTACCCATCAGTTTCTCTGGAGCCTGGTTCAGCTCTTTTGAGCCTTCGACATTTGAGGCCCCACACCACCCTGTAATTAGTCTGCTGTGACAATCAGTTGGCTTTTCCCACTGTCTTTGTTCCCTCTAATCCCGTAAGTACTACCAAGATTTCTTTGATTCTTATCCCGCTGCGTGCCCAGTCCGATATACGCATTGGAATAGTATGCCAATTACCCTTATCTACCTCAGATGCAGTATACGGTGTAGCTTCATTCATCCAAGCAGTATCTAAATCGTAAGGGAACAACTCACCGTTTTCCGCCATTCATTGGACTGACGATTTAGAGTACTCTACAATGCACACACGAATTTCTGCAACCTAACGCGTGTGATCTTCAGCGAGTCTTTTTAATCGGTTCTTAAATTTTCTATTGTTTTTGCCTATTGCTGTGCAGATACTACTCAGTTTCAACATTCACAGAGAAATTCCAATGTACATCCGCTGAATGTCAGCCTTACTGATAAAATAAAGCCCGAAAACAAACTACTTACTCAACCACAAGACTAAACTCAGGAGTGAGCAATTTAGTTCAAAATTCATTGTTGCTTATTACCCATACCACTGAGCGTTTAAGTCATTATTGAATGTTGCAATATAAGTTACTGGGAACGGCCAGATTGCTAGAGTGGCGAATGTACAGTGGCTAGTACAACACAAGTTTGCCTTTGCGCACCACCTACCTATAACAATAATTCGAGTTCCTCATAAACGCCATTTAGGCAACCAATTGTTCCGTTGCTAAATTGAGACTAAGTGGCACTGTCCTGCTTACGAAGAACAAGGTTCTTCTAACCGGTAGTTTTTTTAGTTTAGACTAGAAGGACAAACCTTCCGCCTCCTAGCCGCAACAGGTCTAGAAAGAAGTTCAGAATATCACTCAGACTATCATTTCATAAATAAAAGGACAGTGAGCAGATCATAATGGTTTTGCAAACGCATGATACAATATTACAGTAGATAGTCAAGGGCGTCACCAACAACAACCTCAGTAGCAATAAATTGGAAACAGAACATCCCTGAAGATGTGATGTTTAATAAGTGTAATTTTGAAAATTTCGTATCATGGAAAACGCCAGCTCAATATTTCGTGGTGGTAAGTTACCTTGTCGTAGACCCAACTATTTGTGCACAGAATAGAGGCAGCCTAATGAGCATTTTAGTAGAAAAGCAAAATTGAAAAGCATATGTTTCAAAAACTGAGACCTTGGGCGGAGATTCTACATAAAATATTACTGTTCTACACAGGCGCTCACACAGGCATCAGAAAGATCAAATGCGACAATATCAAATTACTTAACAAAGGTTTATACAAATGCACAGAATAATAAATTTGTCTGGTTTGGCGACCACAAATCAACTACGTAGTTCACGCTTAAAGTATTAACATTAATAAAATATTAAAAGTATTGAAGTATTATTACATTTGCGAAATTGCAACTGACCATCTTTGTTGAACTGGTTAGCTCTGTGTTTTTTGCGTTGTAGCGAATAAGTGACTTACTGAGCAGGTTTTGAATCCTTCATATTACAAACAGCAGTTGCGGCGTCATGCTTAACACCTATATGGCATGCTGTAGATCTAGTGGTTATATCGGCCGGTCTTTTGTCAGGATTTGCAAAGGACGACGTCGCTCCGTATTAAGATATAGTGGATCCACTTTTCATACTATTATATCTAAGACAGCCTTTTTAATAAGCTTATATTAGGGGCCTTGGATGCAACAGAGTATTTTTTAGTGAAGCTAAACGTGCTGGGATGAATACGTCCTCACTCATCGACTGAATGTCAAAATGGTGACTCCGCCGAACCTATGTTTGTCCGTTTGCACGCCGTACCACTTGGTTGAACTACCTGTAATTTTTCATCTACAGTGAAACCATGGAAAAGAAATCAAAAGCTGAATCATGAATCTAATGTGGAATCGTTTTGGCACTGATGCTATCAAAACGGCTGAGATACACTCATTTTTTTCCTGTATTACTTTTAGTATATTATTTCATCAGTATAATCGGAACTTAGTCAGTTCGCCTTGACAAAATCCAAGGTAAGCTGGTAAAGTTTGCAGCTTCACAATGAACAACGATGTATAAAATAGGCAACAAGGTCAGCCAGCTTTGTTCATGATAATCACATTAAGGCGCCTATATACATCTGTTGCGTGTTCGTATGGACGCTGTGAGAACCTCATTGCATATGATGGCGTAAAATAAAGTGGTTGTGTCTACCTCGTTTTAGAGAACATTACCTGCTCTGGAGAAATGACCCTCTAGAGGAATTACACCCACAGATCTCTCTGATGAAGGCCATCAAAATCTACGACGCAGACGGAAAGGAATGATTTTCCAACCCCTGGAGATCAGTAGAATGGAGAAATCGCATTGATTGCATGTGTTATGAACAACAATAATGAATTTACACTCTCAGTCATCACTAAAATAGAGTCGCATTTCGTGCAGCCAGTCGGAGACCACTTGGTCTTGTAGAATGCATCTCTAATTGTTTCAAACAATTGAATACGCTGGTGAAAGTTGCGCAAGTAAATTCCATTGGCATTTTCAACAGGTCTGGATATGGACGGCATTTTTAGTCGTAAGCCTTGTTTCGGAACAGATTTAAAAACATAGCTTTCACGTAGGCTATAGGTCGTGGAAAAATCATGTATATATTAATTTATAGCTCTTCAATTACAAGTAAAGCGGTACATTCCAGAAATAACTTATTTCATCATTTGGTGTTTCAAGCACTGGTTCCATCATATTTTCAGTTGGGCGTCAACAGACACATGTTTTCTGCTGTTCATCCGGTAGTAAATGCGGATGGGGGGGGGCAGAAAGCCTATGATAAATCTCCTTGGGATTTGGTTACAGTCCCGACTTGGTGCATTATTCCACTAGTCTTCAGTCAATTTACATTTGAGCCTCTTGGTCGTAGGTGCCGTGAAGACATTGACTGAAAAGTTATGTTATTGATTCGCTGTCCTAAAGTCAATGTAATAATTCCGATGCATGCTGATAATTACGAAAGCAAAACGGCAGTTACAAAACGTATGTGATAGTTGTACGTTAAAAAGTAAACAAAAACGATCACAGATGAACGTATAATACACCAATCGCGCGTGCGATGAGAAAATAAAGGACGGACAGATAATGAACTGGTGAGACTCAGAGCCTGGCAAGCAAAGTTCATAGTCAGTGTTCAATGTCTATAGTACTGCATTCAATGGAATCTAGTCCGGAGCTTTCCAAATTACTCGTAAATAAAAACATGGTTCGTTATCTGGCGTAACTAGCAGCTCGACCATTCAGGTGGCAGTAGTCAACAGCTTGGAGCTGAACTGGATGAAAATGGGTGATCCTGAAGTTGCGAGCAGTGTCAAATTCGAAATGCCAAAGCAAGTGTGTGAGCATGTGCATATGCGACTGTCCGCGCTCTTGTCCGGGGAAGTGTCGCCTCCCGAATCCATAGAAGTTTCATATGGTTTGCCACGTCAATTCTTGGGTTGCTCTCATGTAATTTGCCAACCTACCTTAACATTGTGTGTACTATGGCTTGTTAGATTACGTCAATTCGTTGCTCTCATGTAATTTGCCAACCTACCTTAACATTGTGTGTACTATGGCTTGTTAGATTCTGGTGGACTAGGATCTACTGTCATAACACAGGGGTCATTTTAGATGTCGCTGTTTATGGGCAATAGCTCCAGTTAATAGTACAGGTAGTTACACAACTCGATTTATTGATACAGCGGTGAATGGCTTGGTCATAAGCAATATGAACCATAGTTGTGCACGGATCTTTCCTCGGAAATGGAGAAGCGGTGACGCACAAACATCATTCTGTTATCCTGCACGTACCGAGAATTGAATATTTGTTTAGCTGAGCGGACATTGTATGCAGCTCTGTTTAGTCTGAAACATCAGAAACTTCAAACCTAAGATTTAGATAATCATATTTTGTTATGCAACCCAAAGAAGGAAGGAATATCTTGCTTTAGGTAAGCTGTGATAACTATCGTAGAGTTGAATATCTGATGGATAACTGGAGAGTTGCTTGATTCTAAACTGATCTTTGGGATAGTCTGATGTGCTCATCATAATTTGTTGATGATTGTGGCCAGTCGATGACTTACTTGAAGTCAAGGATATAACTCTTCCAAGATTTCATTTTTTGTACGTCCTCAAATTGCATGCATTGTGGGGACAATTAGGGGTTCATTTGTGGCAAACTCGCACAATTGACTTTGCTTAGCTTCGAATTTCCGACTTCCGGAGTTTAAGGTAATCATCACCATCAACGTGCACAGCACGACATCAGTTTTCAACACTGACGCTTCACTGCCATACAACTACGATTTATTTGGAAGCCCTATTGTGAAGAAAAAAATAAAGTTGGATAGAGAAGGGACATGGTGCTAGTATACTACAATCAGTCCAAAGTGCCTACACCTCCAGACACTCATTCTAGCAATTTGGTAGAAAGTGACAACAATAACACCACTGATATAGATTAGAAACCATTTCTTGCAGCATTCCCAACCAAATGCAAGAGGGATTACGCGACCCGACCCTGGATCAGAGGAGTTATGAACGACAAATAATGATTTTAGTTGTAGGTCACAGAAATTTCGGAATCCACTCTCACATCGCCTTGTTTCAACAGCCATCCTCTTGTACTGGTACAATTATTCTGATGTGTCGACACCAAAGAGAGGAAGCACTGGACTCGAGCTTCGCTCTTATTAGAGCTCTTCAGTAGTGCGTATCCAATGGCCATGCCGGGATTTGAACTTCGGACGCCTGACAAGCGAGTCGAGCGTGTTATCACCACTCCATCAGCGCATGTTGGATGCATCCGAATTTTGAAATATGAAGAGATCAGTGCGCTCACATCTGAGCGACGTGACTGGTTTGCCGACAGTGATTTTCGTTTTGTCTTGAGGTATAATTTCCAAACACAATTAGATTGAAAAGTGAAAAGTATTATGACCCAACAAAATGTTAGAGCGTGAGAAACGGTGGCTATTCCTTTTTTTTACATGTTAGTTGCCTTCGCTCAAAAGTTTGAAGCCAACTAGTTTTTTTGTCGGATATCGGATATATAGCGTCCCTGCTCTGCATTGGTTCATATGGTCCCTGAGGTGGTATGTGTTTAAACCTCCAGTACCGGCTCAAATTTTGCACACTTAGTTGTGTTTCAAGGTTACGTTCAACTGATTAGGCAGACCATTTTTGATGCGGTGCGTTTGAGTCAAATCAGTAAGTCACAAAGGTCTGTTAGGATATCGATCGAATGATTCACACTTTCTGATTTCCTGAAGAATTTCAAAAATGTACTCATGAAAAATGCTCATGATAAAAGTGTTTACTTCATTTAGTGATAAAAAGAGTAATACGGTAACACATATAGACAAAACATAGCATTCAAAAGAGTTGATAATAGGTAAATTATGATACCAAACATATCAATTAAGCCAGCTGTGCGGAGGCAAATAAACCCTGAGCTTGCTTGAAATAGGCCTGAAATATTCAACCAGATTCGCTTGAATCGCGGGACTTCTATAAAACTTGGTGAATGGCGCCCGGGTTCGGTCATCGTACGCGGGTGTGTAGTAACATAGTTTTCACATTGGAGGGGAGTTGTATAAGTTTGTCGAAGTGGTCTCGCTGATCGTCGTTCCAGAACTGTTTTTTGAGAATGCGGATGCCGGACAGATTGGCTCCCTTTCAGCGTGTTCTTGTGATGGCTGCATAAATTTGAGTTTTGATCAAGACAGACAGCGCCTGGATATAGCAAATTAGAAAAGTCATCCCTGCTTTGAATCCCTCGTATAGTTGAATTTTCCAAAGAAACATCTGACAAGAAATGGTTTCTACATTCTTTTTTGACATAAGAATTTTCTCCGGTTTGCCTGTAAGATGTCCGTGGACCACGGGTCTTGTTGTTTAACACGGCCACTATAGTAGCAATGCATAAGAGTCCAAGTTGATCCAAAAGAAAAATCCCTGAAAACAGAGAGCAAACTTCTAGACAACGGTGACAAAACCTACAAATTTATAATGAATACGTGGTATGCGTCAATCGCATTGTTTTCTTGCGCATGGTGCAATGGTAACAGTATTTACATGCTAATGCCATAGAAAGTAAGTAGCAGCAAAGTCAAAGGGAGGATAATACACGACAGAAAATTCTTCTTAACCGTTGGCCATCATTGTCGAAAGTCACTCAGAGCAAATGAATGAATCTCATGAGTTTGTGGGGATGTGGGTTTTTATGTATATATATACATATATATATTTAAGTGTAAGCATATATATGCACGTATATATTCCCGAGCTTTTTGACAGCAATGGATTCTCGCGCAGTTCGCAAAAAGAGAGGTACTAAAGTGAATACATAGCCACCTATCATGGTTCATTCTGTTAAAGTTTTAGGTTTTAAACGCTGATAAACTGCGAATTTTGGTAAAGGCAGAACTTCAAAGAGAGCAGTTTAAAAATGGATACATAGTAATCAGTCAGTGACTGCCGCCAGACTGAGTGCTGTTGGATCTTCACACCATCCCGGTACGTGTCCGCCAACTCCGCCATGCAAGCGTTATAAACCCAACAGGGCACGAGTTGTAAGAAGCTTCAGTGGCTGACATACCGTCACATCTTAATTGGGCTGCTCTATTTGTCGTTTTATTGTGGGTTCACAAATGACGTTGGTCGACGTCTTAAGCTTCGATTCATTTGAATTGTCGTTGTTCCAGATGAGGGGTTCCTTTTGCCTGGTTGCTTTTATTAGTACCATATGGTCACGTGTAAAGGTGACCTCCATCCTCTTTTCCTCGTACACAATACTAGGCATTCTTATGCTTAATATGACTGTAAAGCACCTGGATTTGGCACTGTTGCATTGCAGTTTACCTTGATGATGATGATACTGGTAGTATTTGCTGGTGGCTGATCGGATGGCAGTTGATCTGTTCGCCGAGCTTGGCAATTGGCTTGCAAGCTTTTCGTCCCCAGACGAGGAGACATCGTCAGTGCGCATTCAACTGCACACCCGAGCTACCTATATTTCGACAAATTGACAACGGCAGTATTTCTTTATCACCACCAAATCACTGCAATCATCAGGTCTCTATTTGAGTAGTATTTACAGTTCGCACAAAGAATAAAGTTCCAAATCCGAAGCACAGGGCTTTTTGTGCGAAAATTTTCACTGCCGCCGTCAGCCTTATCATGGTATTCGGAGAGATCCGCAATCGCTGACAATTCTTTATTGTTTATCAAAATGATGATTCGGAAAGTCGGTTCGTTATTTGAATTGTTTCACCTTTAGTTGGTTATTCGGTCGGTTAATCAGGTAATCGATTGCCTAGTCCATTATTCGCCTAGTTGTTTATTTAGTTGGGGATTGTGTCGGTAAAGTTAATAAATACATTAAATGGGACAGGAAAACTTTAGTCGTTGAGATGAACTAGGAATTTAGCCATTTTAGCCAGCCAGCAATTGGTTATGTTAAACAACCGCGTTCGGTTAGAAAAAACAAGTTAAGCTTTACTGATTGAAGCAAAACCAAGATAAAAGAACAGTTAGCAGGATACACAATAAATAAGTGTTCAGGAGGATCCGGTTGAGGCGTTTATCTCTTCACTTTCAACGAATTCACTCCTCATAATCAGCAACAGACATTAAAGTAATAAATAAGCAAAAAAACGGTTTCTGCGAGCCCCACCCCCCAGCTCGGTTAGTGCAAGTGACTCACACAGTACAGACACACATGCAGAAATCCACTTGAGTTGACTATTGACCACCTGATGTTTTCCTGTGTCGTGTCCACTGACACTACTTTGCCTGAGAAACGCCTTCAAATGCAATACTCTTTCTGTTGTAAAGAAAGAATGAGTCTTTTTCCTGGAACCATTACGTACACAGGCAGAAAGACTGAGATTCCGGTTATGTATTACAATCCCAAAAACAAGATGTGCTTTCCACCCTATCGTTTGATCGGAGAACAATATTGCGCACCATTGCGTCTGTACAGACCTCCAGCCTATTCTAATCTAGATGGAGGATAAAATGAAGTGCCTCCCCATAACTTCATTATTACGAGACGTACACCATCGTATTCACTGTTCTAATGATTGCAGCATGGATAACTTGAGAGTATGTAAGCGTGACCTGAAACCGCATCGCCTTCATCCTAACCTGGGCAAAGCCGCTCGGGGAGCATTTTGTCCCCCTGAGTTGGTGGAATATTTCCAAAGAATCTGGTAGAATAACCTACAAGCGTGGCTGTGGTGCGACCCGGAATCTTTAATTCTGTTGGTAGACAGAGATCGTCAACCAAAAAAGGTCACTCATTTCAAATCAGCAGGTATCCATCCCACTCTTTATGAATTTCACTCAATTGACAGGGCATTCTAATCCTTCTGGGTGGATACTGGATGAGAGGTGACCACTTGGCCATCATTAGTAGGCTTTGACTGGCCACCGCTACTTCCTTATCAGATCGGTGGCCTTGTTTATAAACCTCAAGTATTATTTTGCCCAGGTTTCAGCATCCTGACTGTGTCCCAGCCCATTTGAAACCAGATCATTACTAGCAAAAATATCTTTGTAACACATCTGCCGTTGTTTGTTGTCACGAGCAATTGCTCCATTCATCGAAGTTGGTAAGGGTCTATTGGTCATTCTTTCAAGGAGATTAAAAGCTAGCACTCACCATCACAGCACTTCTGACGATGGCTATGGTGATCCTGTGGTACGATGCGTTCCACGGGAACCGACTGACACATGAATGGTTTCTACCACCAACATGAATATGTGGGAATACAATTTTTACCACATAAAGATGTAGCAGATCACAGTCCAGGGCACGTCCAAAGACTATGTTTATCTTGGAAGGTGACCATCACCAAGTAGTGATGCTGAACGAAAACTGACAGCTGAGTTGGAGAGTCCATTAAATACCAGAAAATGTCTCACAGTAACGGTTTCCAAAGCAATTACACCGTCAGGTGTATAGCTGTTGCCTACGTTGTTTGTATAATGTGCGAACGCAACGTGGACCCCACCGCGTTTTTATATTTCTTAGGCAGTCCACTAAAATGATGAAAGAACCACTTAGCTTACAGGTTTACCACGCTTCACCTTTGATTCAGTGAAGATGATATGGCTTGGAGTCTATAACCTCATCAGATGATGAGAAAATGGTAGAAAAGCAAGTACACTCAGTAACTTTATTTAAAACACAGAGGATAAGATTTTTTATATTAAACCACTCAAGATCATGCATTCAAATTTGTGCTATTTGCAAAGAATTACAGAGCACACTTCTTGTGTCATGTGAAAGACAGGAGCGCACACACTCATCTGTCTATTCAGTACAACCCAGATGTTAGATTTTTCTGTTAAAAAGCTGGACTATATTACGACGATGTTGCGTTGCAATCTTATCTGCATTAGGGCCAAAGGTGTCATAAACAGATTAATTTTTTATGAAAAGCATATTGAATTTGCGAATCAGCACAATCACATCCAAAACCAGAAAGCAGTTTTACTATCAGTCAGATCGTTGAAGTGACTTCTCCATTCCAGTGAAGAGTATCAACAATAATTCGGTCTATGAGGGCTGTCCTAATTAAAAGTGCTTCACCATTACACATTGTACCTTCTGATAGAGATTTCCTAAAGGAATAAAAACATAAACACTGGAAGATTCCGTCCTAACAATACGGGGGAAATACACCATGGCTGAAAAAAGAAGCAATAAGTCACAGCTTGTTGTGACACTGGGTGGCCCGTGAGCATGCACACAAAACTAATTTCACTGCTAAATTCTCTCCCTAAAAAGCTCCGCAATACCATACTGAGTAAAAGGCAGTAAAACATTCTTCGGACCGGATTCTCTGAACGGCCGACACTTATGAAAGCAGCACTTTTCATCTTTCCATATTTCTGATAAAACACAGCAAAGAATTAATCGGCAGGAAATACGAGAGATTTCTACGGATCAAATGCGTGTGCCATTCGGTTTGATATAGTGCTGATTAACTTTCAATAATTACTGTATTCGCCCTTCACGTACTTTATGGTTGATCGAGCATTTTCTAATTGCCTTCTCCTAATATATGCGATTCCCTGACATCTTCGAGTTTTTTTTATCTCTTTGGGCCAATGTTTCGTCTGAATCAGATTACTTTTAGGATATTACTCACCCAAATGATATATCAAACTTGTAATCGATCATACTATTCACGAAGCGTGAGATATTTATCAAAGGCTGGCAGACGAGCATTATTAAACAACTGAGCTGTCTGCCCGAGATACAGAGCAAGTTAAGCGATAATGAAATTCGTCACATTTCAGGAGACAGAAAGGAAAACGCTCGCCAAATAGGCAATCTGTTAACACATTTCCTTTCCTAAGTCACCATTTTACGCAAGGGAAAAGATTAAGGAGATAGCTTGATAGTCTATTGTCCCAGTGGTTGACTCGTCCAAGTACTCAAAATACTTGTTAAGCATACCATAACCATCCGATAGATTATTCGTAAGTGTGAGATCTGGCTTCATATGAGTACAAAACCGAATACTTGTGCGACACAACAATGTCCTTCATAATCTGCACCCAAATTTCTGTTTTTGTGCACTGAATAACGTGAGAAATCGTGTTGTTCAAACTGAGGTCCATGCACATTATTAGTCGACGTCATCTTGCTTTATATCTTCTGAGTACTTTCGGGATAAAAAATGACAGAAAAATGACAAGAGGTGGAGAGTCTGGCTCTCTTAAAATGTGGTGTACCGACAAAGAATAGACCAAGACTCACCCAGCAGAGGAACCGTTCGCATCGATCGAGGTGCGTTTGAGGAGACAATCACCACATACATGGTCATACTGAGAATTAGAGACAAGGCTACAGCCAAGCGATCTCCTGTATCTCCAATTGTGAATATCAAGCAGGCCAACCATGACAGCATGAAGAACGGCACAAGGACCATGATGACGAAGTAAAGGGGTTGCCGTTTGATTCGAATAGACACTTTGATATATTGGTAAGCAACACTAAATTGACTTCGATAGCTTTCCAGACTAAATTGTATCTCCTCAATTTTCCATTCACTCACATTGGAATTTGGAAGGTAATTGTTATCCACCGTGGGACCATGTTGCATTGGTTGCAGTTGAATTTGTTTCATGGAACTCTGCCATGGAGTGATTATCAAATAGCACGTTTGAGTGTCGAATGGGAACCTTGAAAAATCCAGTGGACATGTGACATCCAGAACCGCACCATGAAGCCACATGATCATGCCATCAGATCGGATGGTTACACGTGAGTGTTCTGCAGCGCTGAAGTCGAAATGGGCACTGTGCCTTCCATTAATCAGACCGATATCCGGTTTCCAGATACTCTCACCAGCATAGTCGACGGATGTTACATTTTCAAAGTCTCTCGGGTCCCAACGCAGTCGATAGTCATTCCACTGCTGGAAACCAATATTACAACGTAAGACAATATCTTCAACTGTATGAGTGGATGCTTCAAAACTTCAGTGAGCATATATGTAATTTCGGATCAATCAAACTTAGCCAAACTGCTTACGTATCACATTTTAATAATTGCAGGGCGGATTAACCGAAGATGACTAAAGAGGGGATTTTTGTTTCACTCCACTCAAAAAATGCAAATGCATAGTTCCTGAGATGTGCGTCTCAAGAACAAGTGTTTAAAAGTAATGAGATGTTTTTATTAACTGGAATAATTGCCTCATCCAAGCCAGCTACCTAACCTAACAATGTAGAACTTACATCAACAATGCACCAAGTTCAAAAAATCCTACTTAACAGCAGAAATTTCTGATTGCCATTCAAAGTCAGCTTTCGGTTCATGTTCATTTAGCATGAACTTGATTCCGCATTTGCGGTTTCGTAAGCTTTCCAGGACATCACTAAGGCTGTCTCGTAGAGAAAGTATAGACGAGCGCTGACAGATTACGAGGAATGAGTCTTCATGAATCTGTCGGAGTCATTTCACAAAGGAAACTACTCACAAGTTTGCTGAAAACTCTTTCGAAGCCCACTACCGGTTTCGCCCAGGTAGGCGTAGTCCCCGAGCGTCCCGGAATCTTTTTCAATGCTTGATGCATTCAAGCACAGTGACTGAGAGTCTTAGAATGTATCACTTTTTGAGATTTTCCTAGGGTACACTTGTGAACCGGTGCTCCATGGTATTACAACTATATTTGAGATGTCACAAATTACATGCCCAATAAAAAAAACAGCATTTTGGCTCCTGAAACTGTCTCAAGCCTTCCTTCCTATTACGAAGTATTCGGAATACTGGTAATCATGATGGAACAAGTGAGTTTGTATATCATCATGACAGCATCGTGATTGCATCCATTCTAAGGAGCAATTATGTACATTGCGTACAAAATATTTAGGATAGTTAAATGAGAATCGGGATAACAGTCATCAATTGTGTTGACCAGCACCAACTCCAATTGCTTGGTCGGCTGCTTTGGCAAATCTGTATATTTTTGACTGCGGATTTTAAATTTACGAGTGTATTATCGATCGATTATTATTTTATTGAGTTTTCTCAAGGCGTAATTTAAGAAGGACATTTGAGCGGAGTAATTCTTTCAGATATATCGTCATCATATGGGTACCGTTCAAACGACAGCCGGGATTTTACTGTGGAATCATACTGGACACAAGTTGGACGCGGATTTCTAAGGGTCTTTGGCTCCGTCGGTGCACAACCTGTCCACCGATGTGTGTAAGTTAAGATAACACCGGTTTGTGAACAGGAAATTTCAGAAAAATGCTACATACTTTGTGTGCAACCTGTTTCCAGATCTTGTTGTCAGTGGTATAATTGGATTGACCTATTCGGTCACTATAAGGAGAGTGTCAGTTTTACCTAGTGTTCCGCATCCACCAAGATCGCCAAATTTGGGGCATCGGTCTGTCTAGAGACTTCACTGCCGAGAATGGAGCGCGTTCGGACATTCATTTAGAAGATCACCTTGTGCTCCGGTGGATACAGTGGGCTGCTCAGTGAAAAGTAAGCTGATAGAGACGTATCAAGTTAACCTGATGAGGATCAATTACTGGACGTCTGTTCACATGTCAGCTAGTGAAGATTGTGGGCAAACTGAATGTTTTCGCAAGATCCTTTGAAAATAACCGAAAAATCAGGAGCGGATAAATTGGTTTCAGTGGCAAAGTGGTGATTTCATTTTTTGCATTATCCCCTGTACGCTATCCCATATTTGTTCCATAGAACTGTGAGGGCCACCGTCGATATGGGCACTAACTGCAGGTTGTTTGCTAGTTGTTTGATCGCAAATTTCTGCATACTTTCTCGTTGATTGGATGAAGGTGGACCGAAGTAGCCGTTTACTCCAACGAGAACAAATATTTGTAAATAGTTATCCTGCAGTGCTGAAGTTGGTTTCCTGCAGACCTCAGTGGTCCATCTGGTAAAGTCAGTTTACTCTATCGTTCGAAGTCACATTTAAGCATTACCGATAGTCTTATTGCTCCTAGAATAAATACATGGGAACGGAGTGTATTAGGCTCCAAAAACGTTTTATCTGCAAATTTTTCTTAAAGTTTGGCCTGATTTCACCGATATCGATAATATTACTTTGTAGTATATCCCTAAGCACATCAACTTGATCCGTGGCCCATGGTGATTTAGTGTCGGACTGACGGTAAAAGTCCAATGTCACACAGATTCTCATGACTAATCAGAACATCATCTCTCTCATGAAATACACCGAAGCATCTGTAAACGTATATACACTCATCTGCAAACTAATTTGGTTCTTTCGAGAGACTCACCTGGAGCCCAGCTGAATCTCTCGTTTATGATGTTCTCAGGCAACTGAATGTGCTGCACCAGGCCGACTCATGTTTCAGTCGCTACGACATTTGAAATATCGCGATACATATACATTTGTAAATACTACTCATAAGGTGGATTTTCAGCAACCTTATGAGTAGTACATTACAAAAATACATCTGTAAATGTGTTTCGTGATCCAACCAAATACTATTTTCCTTAGTAATAATGAAGCTGCATGTCAGGACGACACACGTAAATCAAACGTGATACTTGAAGGCAGTTGAACGCCGTCAAACCGGTCCATTATTCGGTACGTAACAAACACCTTGGCGAGCAAGGGCAGTCGTGTGACACATTTATCCGCCTGGCGTGAGGATTTTAGCCTGGCTGAATTGTGCACAGTTAGCTACTTTGCCTTGGTTTGATTGGATATTTGGGACCATGAGATGGCTAGACGCAACTCATTTATGGTTGGGTGATTTGAAGTCACGCCTACTTGATCAGAATTTTGCATATTATGTAGGTAATGAGATTAGTTTGAAGTTCAGACATGCCTTCTATTCTGCTATTGTAAACGCTGGAAGGCAAGAAATCTTCCCAAGGAATTCATGAGGCACGCACACAAGATGAATCTTAACGAAGAAAAATCAGCAATAGAGTTCTGAATTTTTAAGTATGGATAAGCTGAATTAAATTCAGGCTTGCAATTTTTGTGAATTTAATAAAAATATATCAGCGTTCGGTAGGGAAGTGTAATTTTCTTCCAATGGTACGACTAGGGGATGAAGCTTAACTAATCCAATAACAATGTGTTCTTTGGGAGATATTGAGTCAGATTGATGCTTCCGCGGCTGAATTCTCCATCAACTGCGATTTTTCCACAAGCTAGTGGCGGTTGTTTATTACACTGAATCACGTGGAAAACTCCTCTGATGAAAAAACATAAGATGTAGTAATAATGTGATGGTCAGCCTCCTGCGCATAGAAGCACTGGACGCAGGCTCAGAAGTCAACATCCAATGAGGTTTTGCTTTGATCTGCATTCTCATAAAATTCTCCCACGTGACGTTGAGCACAAATGTACCTTGCAAATGTCCAGGCCCAAATATCATCAATGGCAGGCCAGTCTCAACCGTGGAACCACGAGATTCGTCGAACGAATGAGGTTCGATAAGAGAGTCAGGTTGCCTACTTGGTCATGTTTCATGTTTCCGGCTGAAGTGGCATGTCTATCACTGACTGGTATTCCTATCACAGGTCGAAATGGATGCTTTACTACCAATAGCAACATTCATACTGCTAAAAGCGCTTTAGTGTAAAACGGTGCAAAATGAAAACACTGGCAGATGAATGGAGGAAAAAGGGAGAAAATGAAGAAAGATCATTAGCCCACATGCTTACTACCTCCAGGCACCACAATGCCATTTATAGCACTGGACTTAGGAAATCAAAAACATTTTCCGACAAAGAATACTTAAGGAATACTTGACCATCTTGTAACCATCATGTTGCCGCAAAAGATTCATTAGCCATTTAAGCTCAAAAAATGCACTCATTTGCATATTTATTTGGTCTCAGCCGAAAACCCAACTCAATCCTAGCTGAACATCTCGCTTGTGATATTCTTCAGCTGAATATGCCGCACAATGGCACCTCTGAGGCTTTAGCTGGTACAATACTCGAGATACTATAATGCATGACAGTATGATTTCTCGGAAAAATAATACTCACGGAGTTGCTGCCGAAAGTGGTTCAGTAAATTTATGAATAGTATCCCCTATCACCATGTCATCACCAGCCTGAAATCTCTCTATTGGAAACCAAGAGTGTTCATCATTGCATTATCGAGCGTAAACAATTGACTATGAACGTAAAAAGTTGAAATTGACTCTTGTAACGAGTAAAAAAAGTAAAGGAATAAAAAGAATGTACCTTTACAGAATACATGCTAGGAAATTATTTATTGGTCCACTGGAAAATACATATACCTTTATGTGCTAAAGCCCAAATGCTTTCTGTTTTCTTTCTGTACTGTTTTATTTCACTCAAATTTCCTACGTACAAAACAGTCCTACCTGATGGGCTTTGAGAATTAAGTGTATTCTACTTACAGGAAATAGTTTTATATCTTCGTAAACATCATGAACCAGGCTAACACAAAATCGGCAGTCTCAAGCCTTAATGTTTTTCGTAAGTTTGTCATATTTACTCGACACATCTTCATCTGTGGGGAAAATAAGTCGGAGATAGGGTCGGGATTAGATTTGACTGATTTGTATTAGATTTCTTAGTGTCCGAAAAGTGTACCATCCAGTAAATGAAAAACTGCCAAACGACTGAATGAATCCATTTTGGCCGGGTTAGATCGGTTAAGTGAACAATAGGGTAAGAACTGGAAAACAGAACCCATGGAATAAAAGTCACACTTTTTGAGACAAGTAGGTTTTAGTTGAT